AGTTCTGATCTGTGTATGGTGCTCAAGAGTGCCAATGAGAACAGCATGGTCCAATTATTAAATAATTTAATAATTTAATAAAAATCTAAAGTGTGCTCAGCGCTTCAATATCATGACAGTTGGTATGACTGCCCAACGCTAAGTCTGTAACTTTTTGATATGAGTGTGTTGGTTCTTTCTCATGTCCTTATAAGTACGTAGACTCAGTGGCAGTCATGGTAAGCGTCCATTTGAGCTGTTTTTTATTTTGCCTTTTACTGGCTGCAATTGGACTGGAGATATCTGAAAAATGTTTCCTGACTTTTAAATCAGTGATGTGAAAAACTGCATATTTGAAATCATTAAGTATCTTTTTTGGCACTCAGTTTTAATATCGTTCACATGGAAAGTCACAGAGCGTTTGAAAACTTGAATGACTCAATAGAGCCAGATTAGATATCCAGCTATAAATTAGATCTAACATGGTAAATGGCAGTGTTATAACTGGGTTATTGCTTATCAAGCCTTTAGAGGGAGCCATGCATCATTTTGCAGGAGTAATGTAGTGAAGAAATGAGGATATTAATCACTGGAACGATGATTAGGGCTTGTTAGGAGATAATCTCCAAATGATATCCACACTCATCTTGAATTAATTAGTTACTTATTAGTATATATTTTACAAAATGTATGCAATTATACTGTTATCAACTTTCATACTTGCACTGTTCATACACAAGATCATTAGTCCGTCATTTGCTTAAGCAGCATGGCTATTGGGTCACATTATTTATTAACTTCATGCCAAGTAGGAGGAGGCTGAATATATAGGTTGATAGATTTTGTCAACAACATTAAAGCAAATTTGTTTCTGATGACCAGAGAGCTTCTTAATCTATTCAGGCCTTTTGCATCATTATTTATCTATAGATACTGACATAGAGCCTCAATTCACAAGCCACCAAGCATGCAAGCAATTTTCAAGCTTTCTAAAACTGCAGTGTTTGCGGCATCAAAGTTGAAAATGAGAAATCACAATGAGCCTCAAAACACATCAGAATGGAGCCCTGCGCGCTGGGTATATTGTTTCATGTAGAAAAAGAAACAGTGCAGCTTTGGCGTCATCTGCATTCCTCTAAGCATCACAGCACAGAGATGGCCTGAAGGGGGAAAAAAAGAAAAGAAAAAGAGCTTGCAGGAAACTCAAAACTGCACTCTCGAATCTCACTAAAAGGAATTAACTTTATTAAACGCTGGAGGAGGCATATTTAAAGTGAAATCAAGCTTGTTTTCAGAACACTGAAGTTAGAAAATATAGAACTAACAATAGCGCTGAAAGCATGACTGCAGTTAGAGCGCATAAAGTGCCCTTTTGAGTCACGTTTGTGACTCACAACTGAGTACGAGGTGTCTCACCAAATTGTCGTAATCTTTCAGTGTGCACGTAAGCGTTGCGCTTTCAACAGGAACATGTGGTTTCTGAAAATTAGCTCGTAAACTTTGACTGTTGTTGCATTAACTTAATAGGAACCGTATTGTAGTGGGGTAAAAATTCCAGCTGTTCCAGCTGTTGTGTTCCCAATGATATGACAGTATGATTATCAGTCAAAATATGTTCCAGTGGATATGAAAAAAGCCTTTAAATGTATTATTATTGGTTATATCTGTTAAAAACAGTGTAACAAAATATCAGAAACCACCCTTTTTAATTGTGAATCCCTGTATTCACGTCTTTTTCCGAAACTACCTAATGTGGCGTGCACAATAAACAGTTGCTTAATTAACACATGAGCACGCACACACAGCGTTCGTCTATCTGTTTATTTTTTAGCACTTTAATGACTAACCTGCTACTATGATATTCGTTTTAGAGTAAATTCGATTGATCTCAGCTGTTTCTCAAGTTTTGTGGAAGAGCTTGCCGGTGATTCAGTTATTACTGCTAAGCTGTCCGAAGAGCTCTCAAAGTGATGGAGGATTTCTCCACCCAACATTGCTATCAAAATGTGTTGTGTCTGTCTGGCGTGCTGCTTCCTGTTTATCATCCCAAAGCATTAAGAAAACTCATTTCCAGAGAATAAGTCTCAGCGCACTTTACAAGAAGATGTGGAAGAAAAATAAACAAGAAAAAGAAATTTGAGGCATGACTCTAGTACAAAGAGATCTACAGGTTTTAAGCCTCGCTTTATTGTTCCTGTGGAAGAAGTAATTGAACTAAGCAAACCTGTAGATTGGAAAAAGTTTGGAATTGCAGATGAGAATGAAACTTTGTCTAAAACACTCAAATATTTTGAGTTTGCTTCTCGCAAGAAGCCTCTGCTTTCCAGAAAGGAGAGCTTAGATTTGTTGACTTGCGTAAAGCTGGGATTATAAAGTAATTTCAAAGTTAAATATTCATTAACTCACAATTGTCTGTAAGTAGAGAAAATTAAGTACTGTGGCTATTCTTGGTAGAAGTGAGCATTTATGTAAGATTACTCCAAAGACGCAAAGCAGAATGCTCATTTAAGTAGATGTTGTTAACATCTCTTTTCATCACTCTCCGTTGCGAACAAATCAGTGAACAGACATGTTGACGTTGAAGTGTATGGGTACTACAAAGGTGTGGTACATTGGAGGACTGCTTTGTTGCCTGTGGGCCATAACAGCTTGGCATCACCCACATGGAAATTACATTAATTTTACAGGACAAAATCACAGTGGCTGTTTATGAGTTGAAGCTCAGCATGTTAATTCTTTAAGTGTATTAACATCAGAACATTACTGTGTTAATAGTAATAAATACTTGTGTTTTCGGGAGATCATATCACACCTAATAACCGAAAACTGTTCACATGCTTTTCATCTCTGTAGCTGCTGGCCCTTTATTCTGACTACCAAGTTCTGCAGACACAATTCAGAAGCTTTAATTTCAGCACTATGTCGACGGTAGACTGTGCCAGCTGCTGTCATGTTATGTCAGTGTGGACGGGTTTCACCTAAGGAGCTGCTACAGTTTTGACTTATCATACAGTAGCAGGTAAAAGTGGAGACGTCCGAAGCAACACTAATGATGACCCAGTTCTAGTGAAGTGAGTACCTCAACCCAGCTCCTGAGGACATGAGTCAAGGGACTGTAGGGTTACATTTTTCCATGAATTCATTTTCTCAACTACTTGTGCAATTCAGGATTGTGGGTGGGGTTGATGCCTTTATAAAAGACTCATATTGAGTGCAGATACAGATGAAGCCTATATCTGCAGTGAGCACAGCTGTCTGCTGGATTTAACAGTCTAGCCCTTATTTTCAAGCTATTTAACTCTAGCGTTAATGTTCTCTGGCAAACGGCTAGTGTAAAGCTTACATGATATAGGAAACGTGAACTCACCAAGCCAAAGGTTGCAGCACTGTGCACCAAGCAAAATGGCATATTATTAATATACCAATAGGTCTAGAGCATATCCCAGCTAGCAAAATGCCCAGTAAAGTAAAAGAACGAAGTATTAAAGTATTATTATACTTTAATATACTCTTTACTTGCTTTTTAAATTCATTTACTTATCTATTTTATTAGAATTGGGTTCCCAAACTTCTCAGTAGCAACAGTGCCTGGCACGGCCTTTTGGGTAATGTAGTTCTAAGAATGATTGACACTTCTGAAGTATCGCGCAAAGCGACAAACTGGCTAACCGTGCGTGCTTCTGATGTACCTGCAGGTATGCGCTTCTGTGCTTTGGGATTCGTTTGTTTACTTGACACAAAGAGAGCTGACTCTTCCTGTCGCCCCCTCCCTGCCAGGCCTAACTTTATTTATGAGGCTTGTAGCAATGTAAATCGTACCCAGAACTTGTGTCACTTGCCGATAGACGTGAGGCCGGGCAGTGCTGGCTGTAAACATGTGGGTTGCTTGTATCAGGGACGATGGTGTGAAATCGGTTAATTTGGCACTAATGGGCTCTGAGCGCAGTTGAAGGGTCACTTCTCGTCCGCGGAGACTTTGTGATGGGGGATCTGGAGCGAAGCATCACTTACGCTGTGAGTAATGTTTCAGAAAGTTAGCGATCTGAGCTGTTGACGCTCTGAATGTTTCCTAAACAGTTTGCAGAGTACATTTGCAGGCATTAGTGTAATGACATAAACTCAGGACGTGCGCTTATGCCCGACAGACTTTAACGCTTTTGATCCGTACGATTTTAATAGAGGTAGCATCACAATATTTCCACTCATGCACCTGCACTTTTACTCAGCATACATTATGCGTCAATATTATTAGCCTTATGTTATGATGGCTCAGTCCTCTAAATAAATGTATTTTTTTGTTTGGTTGTTTCGTTTTTCAATAATGGAGGTTTAATAATGGTTGCAAAAAAAACTACAAACACAAAGGGAAATAACAGCTGACATCCACCCTTGCGTGCAAAAATCTGTATACCAGTGTTGAATGTAGTTGTTTCATTGCTTATTCAAATCTAATGCAGAATTCACTGTACAACTCTCCAGCAAATAATGTTGACACAGTGTAAGGGCTCCATAGAAAGCTCTTCCTGTAATGCCCCATTCAATGGCTTCCTGAGCACTAAAGAATATTCATCACCCCTCTGGATTTTGTTTAAGGGTGGTTGATTGGTGTAATCTGAGCTTTCAATCTAGCCATATTGTATGAACTACCTTGCACATTTCCTCTCATTGTATTCGAGGAAGCGCTATTGTGTTTCAGCAAGGCTTTGACTTAAATTTAGGTCCTGCACAACCGGGTGCACCTGTATTTGAGAGCTGTGTATCAGTGAAGCTGGAGTGTTTCAAATTTAAATAGATATTCAGATCAGTTGCTATAAGAGCATAAATGGATTAACTTAATCACTTGATATTAACGTACCAGTAAATTGAGGATGATGCCCCATCAGGGACAAACATGAGCAAACGGTAATTCCACCTTTATGATGACAGCTTCTGTAGCATCTTAAAACAGCTTTTTAGCTCTGAGGTCACTATAATCTGACTAATTTGAAAAATTACAAAAGGCTACTACAAAAGGCAGTAATTGTCACAACCTGTTAATGATATAAAAAAGCACTGAATGAAATCTGTTCATGTTTGGACATGACAGAATTGAACCTATTGGCTAAGAGATATTGCATAAAAGAGGACGGTGCTTGGAACTGCGCAAAGCAAATAAGTGGCTCTTTGTTTTTGAGTACTGTAACAACTGGGAGAGACTGTGGGAACCCAGCTCACCATCACATCAGATACATGGAGTGCGTTTCCACTCCCATACAGTCACAAAAGAGGAATGTGTGAACAAAGTGACATAACTGCAAATGTGACTTACTCGTGGCATTTATGCAACTGCAATGTTAATTATGTTGATCGCGCATATGGTTTTGTGACCTGGGCATTAAAGTTTTAAGTGTGTAGTTTCTGTCCAATGGCCAAAAAGGTTTGTAAAATGCAGACAGCTAAGATAATATTTATTTATCCTTCCATTTCCTAACCACTCATCCATCTTAGGGTTGTGAATGATCTGGAGTCTATCCCGGCTGCCACAGGGCAAAAGTATCTCCTGCTCATTGCCCCCTTGAAAGAAAAGCCCTTTATTTTCATGTATATATTATATACAATTGATCAGAACTATTGTAAATGGCAAGTAATGATTATAGGAATCACTAATCATACATTTGTAAATGGAATATAGTTGTACACAAAAAAAATAAATAAATCCAAGCTTATCACATTAAAAGCGAGACTGAACGTGCATCTAGCATTTAAAGCTGGCAGCAGAAAAGAGTCACAAATCTATTGTGATACATGCCAAATACAGGTTATTGACTACCTTTCTTTGCACAGTAAAGAAAATATGTTTGTCATAGAATATTATTTGCCCGTGCATTACAAAATGATTAGATGCTAAAGAACAGCTTCTTTCTATAGTAGTTCCATAAATTGATATTTTTTATCAGTTAGAATTATGCAAGATTATGTGCTGTAAAGAAGAGGATATCTAAAACTGTTCCAATTCTAGTTGGTACACTTAAGCACTGTTTTTTTTAAGTACTTGGCAAGTAGGTTGTTCCAGCATGCTGGGGAACTTCCCACACTTCTCCTGCGGTTTTAGGCTGTCTGCATTGCTTCTGTCTCTTGATATAATCCTAGACTGACTCTATGATGTTGGGATCAAGAGAGTCTGTGTGGCCCAGGCGATCTGTTGCAGGACTCGTTGTTCTTCTTGTCACTGAGGATAGATTATGACTGTGGCTAAAGGTTTGGGCTCGGTGTCATGCTGGTGAATGAATTAAGACTTAGTCAGATGCCTCTCTGAAAAAATGCCTGCGTCTTAAACTTTTTCACCGCTTTTATACTGCCCATTGTCATACTGTATGTGTGCTAGATAATGGTATGCTACTGTTACACAGCCCTAATTCTCATTTAATGGGAGTGAGCCACTTTAGTGTAAGCCTTATCCCGATAATGAGTTACTAAGCTTCTTTGGAAAATGGCTCATATGACTGGCTTGACTGTACTGGATCAAAGCAGGGTAATCTCTGGGATGGAGATGCTCAGAGGTTGAGGATTTCAGATCAGATTATTTTCCTTGTCACTACTCCAGTATAAGACCTTTAGAATATCTGTAACAGTGTTTACTAATGAAGCGTTTTTTGTGAAATGGCTTTTTAGACGATAGACAAGCACCTGCTAAAACTGTACACACCATCACACACTATACTAAATTGAGCTAAAAAGAAATTAAGATGATGCATTTCACATTTAAGGGGAGCTATTATTGCACAGTCAGTATTGATGTTCAGCTGATCTAGTTAAGCTTTTGCTTTTTGTTTGGTCTCCAGCAGCTGTGCCCTATGGCAGCGTGTTTTTAGGTGTTGCACAAATCCATATGTCAGTTTGTTTCATTCAGGTAAAAGCAGTTATGCCATGAGGCTTTTATTTATTTGTTTATTTTTAATTTGGGAAAAAACATTTACTTGGCCCCAGCTGACTATTACATGGTAGTCAAAGGTCATAATGACATTAATACATGTTTCAAGCACTATCACTTGTTAACAGAAAGAGTGATTGTGTTTCAGTTTTAGTCCCACAATGAACTCGTGAGTCTAATCTTTGATGATACATATATGGCAGTTATATGAAAAAGAAAGGACTCTGTAGTTCTGTGAAAAACTGAGTACTTAGTACTGCTTCTACACCAAGTAGATGATGATAATCACATGCACTTGATTAATTTGTCATCAGCAAGTGTGACCACCCCTATTAAAGCCTAAGTTTTTAAGGTTTTTGTTGGTCTGGTGTAATTGGCGCAATGCCGCAATCTTCACAGAAGTGGAAGTCCCAGCAAATTTATCCAAAGTCAGACTCAGAGAGTCAAAGAAATTGGAGGAAAAAAAACTAAGAGCTACATGTCAGTCTTTACAGGCCTCAATTAGCATGCTAAATGTTATAGTTCATGACAGTGCATTTAGGAAAAGACTGAACAAACACGGCTTGTTTGGAAGGTGTTGCCAGGAGAAACCCTCTTCTCCCTAAAAAAAAACTTGGCAGCACGGCTTATCTTTGCAAAGTTGCATTTGAACAGACCGCAGGAGCTCTGTAACAATCTCCTTTTGTCAGGCAAGACCTAAGTGAAGATGTTTGACGAAAACCAAACACAGCATATCAGAACAAACACCTCATACCAGCTGTTAAGCACAGTGATGGAGGGGTGCTCTGTCCTCAGTCTGTCCGACAGCTACAGCTAGGCCAAAATTGAGTCATACAACAGGACAACGATCCAAAATCACAGCAGCAATTTGCAACAGAAAGATTGAAAAAGAAAAGTTGGGCCAGGTGTTGCATTGGCCAGACTTTGGAACAATGTCTGCAAACCTCAATGAACTGCACCGTTGTACAGGATAGTGGGCCAGAATTCCTCCAAAGTGATGTAAAAGACTATAAAGTCATATAGAAAATGAATAATTCAAGTTATTGCTGCTAACGGTGCATGCTATTGAAAGATGGAGTGTAGTGGTTTTTTCTTTCACAGGAATGCATAGTCTTGTGAACACTTTCTTTTTCACATGACTGCATGTGTGCCTGGACAGATATGGATGCAATCTGTAACTACACTGTATGGTGGAGGCATACGGTCAAAAGGCCTCACATTAGCATCACTAATGTCAACACCTCATAATTCTTGTTTCGACATGCAGAAAAAACATTTGCGATGGATTACATAAAGTGTTTAATACAATCACAACAAGAAATGAATAACATTTGCACATTGCAACCTGTTTCTCCCGTGCAGTCTGTCAGTTTCCCTCGTGGGAAACAGTTTTGATGATTTTCAGCAGCCAAGTGAAGCAGAACTGCAAGTGTTTGCCAGTTGATGCACACTGCCATCTGCAGAGAGTGTGACAGGTCATGAACATATGACACAAATTATGGATGTAATTGTCTGATGTGCTTTTAAAACCTGCATGTTTGTGTTTGCCCTCAGGGTGACTTCACTTGGAACAGCTTGTCAGGAGGCACTGTTGGCCTCAAGCCCGTCCCCCTGCAAAGCCTCTCAGAATTGGAGAGGGTTCGTCTCCAGGATGTGGCCTTCAAGCGATTGCTTCGGTGTCATGACCTGGGCTGCCACATCACCATCCCTAAATGTATTACCACACACAGACACACACACAATTACAGGCCTCTTCTTGTCTCCCAAGTTGTTATTCTGTTTCAGGCAAGAAACTTTCTGAAAAAACACATGCTGAGCAACAGATGGGAAATGTTCCTCTCTCCTTTTTCTCCTTTTTGTTGTGTAAGGGCGTCATACTCATAAACTCATTGGTTTAATGACGTGAGCTCATCTACGTTCTCCAGTAATAGGCTGAATCATTTCTGGATTCCACTACTGCTGCCCTCTATAAAGAAAGCTTTTAAAAACTGTTTATTTTCTGGTGAGCTGTCTTGGTTTTTCTTGTTTCAAAATCGTCCCTGGAGTCTGTAGTGCTTTGAAAACGCCATAAATAGAGTACATGTGAAAAATGTGCTGTTTTCTGAAAAGGAACAGTCCTGTAAATTCACGGTGAATTAAGATTTGCTTTGCATGTCATTATCTTGACATTTTTTATATAGTTTGTTTCTTAGCTCTTTTGTGTAGTGACCCTGAGAATATCAAGTGGAGCAGACATAAACAGAAACATATTATCTAGACCTCTGTTTTGTTTTTTTTTACCTGTGACTCTTTTTTAGATGGCCACAAGCACAAGAAGACACTCAGGAGGAAGTTGGATTCATTATCTAAAGAGAAGAGTAAAGACAAAGGTAACATGATCAGGATATAGTCTTAATTCTGGTGCTTTAAAGGGTAGTTTTCTCCCAATTTTCTATTTACAACATGAAGTAATGGCAGCATAGCAGGAACTTGGGTGCTTTCAAGCACTTCTTAAAGATAAACACAGCTATCTTTTAGGTCTGTAGGAGAACCACTGAGTCTTGTAAGACTTTCATTCCCTTCCAGTTTCTAGTCTAGTCAGCCTGTGACATTTTAAAAAATACTCTTTTATCCCTTTTGGCTGAAGCTGTATCGACTCACTGAAGCCGACAATCTCAGCTTTTTATACCCACGGAGCACTGAGCGATCAAAATCAGTACAGAGAGGGCTGTGATCTCCAACCACCACGCTGCCCCGCCCGCTGCAACAATCCAACAGGAAAGTGATGTTCTCTGTCAGACAGGCAGTCGAGGGAAATAACTAAAACAATCTTAAGTGGTGGCTTGTTCGTTACAGCCTATCCTCAGGCATGCCCAGCCCCCTCTTTCCTCTTTTCCCTTTTTGTTTACAAAAGCACTTGGGAAAGTATGTGCTCCCTCACTCTGAATATTAAGTGTGGCTGTAGAACAGTGTTCTTGGCATTTATCTTGAGCAGGATTTATTAAAAAAAATATATATTAAATGCTTTCTACGGAAACTAATCCAGAGAGTAAAATGGATAATACGCTGCCGTGATTGACACATCTAAAGAGAAGCTTTCTGTTGACTTATATGTGAACTTTAAGTCTCGCTGTCTTGCTCTTCCCCCCTCACATAGACACCACGCCACAGGCGTTTGGCATACCACTGTCGCATGTCATATCCAACGACCGCATGCACAAGCTGCGGCACGATCACCCGCGGGAAGAGCACAGTGACCCCACTGAATTGATGCTATCCTTCCTTCATCTTACATCTAGCTACAAAAGGGCTAACAAAGAGCTCTCCAGCAGCAACTCGTCACTGAGCTCCACTTCTGAGACCCTTAATGAATCACCACTGCCCAGCACACCAGACATAGCCCCACGGACACGCAGACGGGTAGGCTTCCCTGTCAACAAACCTTACATACACTGATGTAGAATAACAAGTTATTTGTCTGATTATGCTTGCACTCGAGATTTCTTTGAGAATTTGTGACCTTTTTAGATGTTCCCCCGGAGGCTGATGATGTGGCCATTCACAGCATATGATCAATTGCTTTTCCAGTCATTATACTGTCACCCATCTGCTTAACAGGGCGGAGTGTCTGTGGATTGCATCACTGACCTTGATGACAACCAGTCTCGGCTCTTGGAGGCACTCCAGCTGTCTCTGCCAGAAGAGGCAGCTGGCAACACGAAGAAGCACCATGACGAAAAGCTCAGCCTTAACCCTATTTACAGACAGGTGCCCAAGATAGTGGACCAGTGCTGCCAGCACCTGGAAAAATACGGTACGTAGTGCACAAGTAAAGGTACATAAACACAGTGCAGAATACCAAATTAAATTCTATAAAATGTACAGTAATGCACCTCACAGAAGAAGGTCCTGGGTTCTAATCCACCATCTGGCTGGGGTCTGTGTGGAATTTGTGTGTTCCCCTCAATGTCTGTGTGCGTTCTCTCTGGACACTCTGGCTTCCTCCCACACTTCAGAAACATGTAGTTAGTGGGGCTAGGCTAATTGGTCATTTGAAATTGGCCTTAGGTGTGAATGGTTGTCTGTCTCTTTGTGTTGGACCTGCGAAAGATTGGGGGCCTGTCCAGGATGTACCCTAGCTCTCACCCTATGGCAGCTGGGATAGGCTCCAGCCCCAGCAGAAGAAAATGGATGGATGCAAAATGTACAGAATATCCCCTTAAACACTTGGTTAAATGTTCATTGTCTTGCGATGCAAATGCCTTGGAAGTAAAGGAGCATCTTTGTCTTTGTTTAGCCCTACAGACAATTGGAATTTTTCGTGTTGGGAGTTCCAAGAAGCGAGTACGACAAGTAAGACGTCAGCTTAGCTTTTTAACACCTCTGCACTTTATCCACGGGTAACCTTTTAACCATATCAGTTGTCACAATATTTCACCCAGCTTCGTGAGGAATTCGACCAGGGATGGGAGGTTTACATGGATGAAGAGCACAGCGTCCATGATGTAGCTGCATTGTTTAAAGAATTCTTAAGAGACATGCCTGAGTCACTGCTGACAAAAGAACTTTATACAGCCTTCATCAATACAATGTGTAAGAAAAAGACACACACAATAAACAATCCACTATCTTCTGATTACTTTGAAATTAATGTTAACTGTGTGTTTTTTGTTGTTGTTGTTGTTCTTTTCTTCTACAGTGCTGAATGTTTTAGAGCAAGACAGTGCCATCCAGCTCCTGGTGTTTATGCTTCCTCCCTGTAACAGCGACACGCTACAGCGCCTCCTCAGCTTGTTGTCCACTGTGTCTGCACATGCTGAAGACAGCCTGGACAGTGAGGGACATAAGGTAGAGGCCGGTTTTTACAGCAGTCTAAAATGCTTCCAAGAAGCACAAGCTTTTGTGTGATGAATTTTATATAAGTGTGAGGTAACACACAATGAGGTGATGATAATTTAGTTAATAATTTTGTCTTCTTTGCTCCCAGAAGACACCCAGAGTTTAACCCTTAGGAACTGCCTCTTTTGGCAAGAACTCACATTTTATAGCTTGTTGATTCTATCGCTGAATAGGAAAAAATATGTTAAATCACAAAACAATCTCATTGACAAACTGCTGATACATTGTATCCCAACTGCCATCGGAGGGAAGTCAAAAAGATATGCAGTACATCTGAGGCCTCTTATTTTTAATTTGAAGGAAGGGACATACCAAAACGCAACACCTTTATGGACAATATGGTTTCTTTAATAACCATTGAGTGAGGACATAAACACTGCACGTTGGTATCATTCTCTTCTGTCTTAGGGCCAGATTTACTGTTGTTCTGTGCAAAACCCTCATTTGGCTTTTTAAAAGCTACTCTTGGGATTTACTTAATATGCACAGTGTCAATTTTGTGGCTATAAAACATGGACACATTTTGTGGATTAAATTTCCCTCTCATGGTTCAGAATTTAGAAGATGAACAAAACATAAGCATTAACTTCATAGGTTTTGAGGTGGAATAAGTATCATTCAATTAAGTTTATTTCACAACAGTCAACAACAACGGTCGCCTTGAGGCAAGCATCATTTAATGAAATTTGGTAAATGCTCTTTTCACTGCGTGGCAAATAATAAACCTAACTGGAAGGGCCAATAAGTGTAAAAAATTAGGGAGGAGATTATTTAAATGAATCATACAAATGTAATTTACTAAGGACTGTTGCAGGCAAATTAGTGCAAATTACACCATTATTTAACTCGGGAAAAAGCATGTCTTATTTTGCGCCTGATGTGGCTGTGATAGTTGCTGCTAGGAACGTTAATTTATTTGAAATGCCAACAGGAGATGTTATCGGAATGAGTGCGTAATTGCTGTGGGTGGATTAGTCAAAGTTGTAAGTGCGGTGGCAGAACTTTGGCTCTGTCCTTTGGCTCTTCGCTGTTTCCTCCCACTGAATGTTTAGAAAAGCACTTCACATATTTCTTGTCCTCAATCACACTGGTATTTCAGTGTAACAGGGCACAACTTAACATGGACACGCAGTGGAAGGGGACAATAGTTTCCTAAAACAAGATGGATACAAACCGTGATGTATGAGAGGCAACAAACGTACTTTTTACAGTGAACAAGGTAGTTTCCAGTATTTTGTCCTTCAAGTCACATTTCTACACAGAGATCAGCCCATACAGTGATAACTGCAGAGAGTACAAAAGCCTGTACATGTCTTTACTCAGCAGTGCATACACACAGTAGGGGTAACTCCATTAATATTCAGACAGGATCTGATGGCAAACAGTGTTTTGTGTTGTTATTCTGCACATCTCACAGGACAGCTGTTACAGATTCCAGGCGTATAGGTTTGGTTGTATTAAAGCAGTTTTTCTCCACACCTGAGCTGTCAAAGCTAGCCAAAGAGCAGATGGCCCAGCATCCAAATTCCCACAAAGTTCTTACCAGTTTCTTACAAATATATAAAACGTTCTCCTTAAGCTGTCTTCAGTAATTTGCTCTGCTCTTGGCAGCTTGTGTTGGTCATTACTGCGATGAGCCGGCTATGTTTGCATGAATAACTTAGTGCCTTATTAGTAGATCACTTGCAAAAGCTTTCATGCCCACAGGTGTTTTCTTTTTCCATCTTTTTTTCAATTGCAGCTAATTTTCCCTGCAATAAACCTGATATAGATGGATCTGCATATTTGATTTGACAGATTTTTCACAGTAGATCTCATCCTGACATAATCCTAATGGGAATTTGTGACTCCTCCTGGACTCGAACCAGCGATTGTTCATGTTTTTGCACTGTTATGTCATGTTATGCAGCACTTTGTTTGAGAATTACGAGACAGTTAAAGTGATCAGCTTATCCCAATATGATTATTAATCATCAACTCAAAAGCAAAATATGTGCAAATACATTGATATAATGAAAGTTTAGTTGGAGGATGTGTTTGTTCAGTAGTTTAAACATGTTATGAGAACTCTGTGTTCTTTTTTGTTTAGGTTACAGGCAACAAGATGACATCGCTTAATTTAGCTACCGTCTTTGGACCCAACCTCTTACACAAGCAAAAAAACTCAGACAAAGAATTTGCAGTAGAGAGTTTTGCCCGTGCAGAGGAGAGTGCAGCCATCATCGGCGTTGTCCAAAAGATGATCGATACATATGATACGCTGTTTATGGTAAGGGCTCTAACTGCAAACTAAGATGTTAAACATTCTTAAGGTTTTCTTTGGTCAGTCAGTGTTTGCTGTTGTGTCTTGTGCAAGTTCACCCAACTAGATATAAAAATCGACTTCAAATAAAATATGATTCCAGCCTCTGTTTTGTTGGTGTGATGATGCCAGGATCCTCATCTTCATTATCTACATTCTCTGTTTTTCAACTGAAACCTCAGCCAAGTCACACTTTAGTTAAACTATCTGAAAATTATCTGTCAAGAAAATCAGCAGGGTAGAAGTCAATCAAACATGTATTTACATTAATTATTTTCTCAGTGCACCTTGCAAACATCTGGTAAATGACTCACTATAAACGAGCAGTGTAGGCTTTTTTTAAACCCTTCTGGGGGGCATCATCTAATTAATATGGAGAAGAGTTTCGTTCTGATGCGATTAATCACCAAATCAATGAGTGAGGATGAAGGAGAAACCAAATTTATGTCTTTTTTTCTAGGTGCCCCCTGACCTGCAGAATGAGTTGTTGATGAGTTTGCAGGAAACAGATCCTGATGTGGTGGATTATTTACTGCGGAGAAAGGCCTCACAATGCTCGTGAGTTTCTGCCTTTTGTCTCATTGTGCATTTATGCGCATGCATGACTACTTAAATGATCAGAATCAAGCACACATTATAGCTCGTGGTCACAGGTTTTTCTAGAATTGAGTGTTTTTGTCCAAACATATCCATCCATTAATATATTGCGTCTGCTTTGTCTTCACAGAGAGCCCAGCCTTAGATCAGAAGAGTCGTTCTCTCTGACTGACAGACGCTTGTCCAGTGACTCACACAAGCCATCTAGTGGAGAGGTTTCCCCCTATGACAATAACTCCCCCGTCCTGTCCGATCGACCGCGGTTTAAATACACAGAGGACGGCAGTCTGCTCTCAGACAAAGTTCCCAGACAGGACAAACTCAGAGACCAATCAAAAGACAACTCTGGCAGTACCTCCCCTACACTTTCTACTGACAAAGGTGAACAAAATTCATTTCAACAATAGTTTTAATGTATAAAGTGTAACTTGAAAGATCTGTGGAATTTTCTTCCTGAGAGTTCACTCCCACATCTATGTTAGCCAACAGTGCCTTAAAGTCACATTAAAGTCACATTAAAGTTCAGATATAATGAATACATTTGTAATATGAACATAAAACAGTAAACATGACAGTATATTTCCAAATAATAAAACATGATAACTTCTATTTTTTATGGGATCATTTTGATGCTTGAAATACTCCCAAGGAGGCGTTTATTTCTCTCTTTAAAAGACAAGATGGTCACATGTCATTAAACATTTCCATAACTTCCAGTATCTAATATATCTAAGATAATTTCTTTGTAAACGTCACATTGCCAAGGCCAAAAGGAAACAGAAAGAGGCTTAAAAAAGGTGAAATAGCTTTAACCTTCTCATATTTTGCATTGAGATAATATGCATTAAAGCAAAGAAAGTAATCCTCTTAGTTCTTTTGTTTCTGTTAGAGACCTCAGCTGACAGTTTCTGGGACACCTGGCATGAGCTGTTCGGAAAGGATTTCACTGGCATCGCCGGTAACTGAATCCATTTTACATGTTGCTCCAGATGGTCTTTGGATATGGAATAAATGCTGGATGCTAATGAATGTTTTCTCCCAGGATACCTTGGAGACGTGTCGGAATGTGACTCATACGGCTCATCCGAGGGGCTGAGCAGTCACCAAGGTAACAACAAGCTGCCTGTCAGTGCAACACAAATGTCATTGGGCGTTTCGGAATGCAGGCCACACCCTCCGGTGACTCGCTGCAGCAGTGGTCCTGATGACCAAAGAGAGCAGAGACATCCAGAATCGTTATTATTACATCAGGCAATGAGCAGCCAATCGGGAGCTGTTAGCTCAGACAACTTAGCACAAAGGACAGGATGCACTGAATGTCCATTACTCCAGGTCAGGACTGACAGTTTATCTTCCCTTAACTGCTCTCGACCTCTAAGAGAGACTCATATTTCTCACTCCATACCCTCCCTCTTAAAATCTCAGCATGACCCCCAAATCCCACAACAGTCCCAGCAGAGCGCTGACTTCAAGATTGTAGATACAGCAGATGCCACTGGGCCTGGAGAGGAAAAAGGCCCTGATTCTTCAAACTGGCAGAAAGAGAGGTGGCATATATGGAAGATGATGTCAAAAGAAAATCCAGAAGCTCTACCAGAAACGTTGGTGTGACCCACTCTTAACTGATAAGCAGACTGTGGATCAATGTTTTATAAAAACATGTGCACGTCTCTTGTCACATCATCAGGTTATCATTGTGTGCAGTTAACATTATCAGTTGATTTTAGTGTTTTATACTGAATATAAGATGCTAAATGATATATACTTGTTATTGTTATTTTGCACTAACTATATAGTTTAAGCATGATTGTGTATGTTTTTGTATTTTTTTTAAAAAAGAACCACGAAAAACTTGTATGTAGACTTGAATGTAATAATTGGACTTGAATATTGTTTTATATTAATGCTGAATGTAAATATAAAAAAATGTTTTTTAATATTTCTTTAAATTTATAGCAACCTAATCTTGACACATCTGTAAATGCTGCAATAATATGTGTGTCTTGAGTTCATGGCTCATTGTTTTTTTGTATTTTTTCTTTCAAGAAAATGCTTACATTTTAACAGAAGTCCGTCAGCTTACCAACACTCCTAATTTTTGTGTTTGCTACAAAAGAAATTCTTGTTAAGCAGCATTATTTGCAGATATGAATATATTTAATATAAGTTTACAGTCATTTGTAATTTAATGAAAAACAACTTTCTCCAGGTGTCTCCTAATAAACAGACTAAGAGTTGTCTCTTTGTGGTCACATTTCCTGCCTCACCCATTTAGCTTCACTCAGATTCCAGAGTCCTATCTATCTAGCAAAGGTTGTGGGCTGTACCAGGAAGTGGCACGTATCAGCACCGAACATTGAGATATAGTATTAAATTACATTATATGATATGAATATATGTATATATTCATTTATTCATTTATTTTAGGTTCAGGTTTACTAAAATGGCTACTGGTAGGCAGCAGGAGTTCAGAGCACAGTGAAACAATTTCCTAATCTGGCCACAAGAGGGAAGCATAAGACCAGGAAACTTTTGTATAGTTGGTTTCCTTGCTGTTTCGAAACCTTGAACATCAATATGGATCTGTCAGTGGCTATAACAATTCATTACATATTAAATAGAGTTTTATTAACTTTCATTCCTATTGCTTTTCTTCCACCACTATGATTGGTGGTGGGGATTTCATGTGTTGGAGTTGAGCTATGTTCATGTTGGAAAAGATGAGTGATCTTCTTGGGCCACGGATTTTGCATTAATCTTACTCTGTGCTAATGGACATAAGATCTGAGACGAGCTCATATTTAACATTAAATGGATGTTTTGTTGGACACAAAAAAATCATCTGTCTATGAAATTTGGCACAGATTCCAGACAGCTGTGCTTCATTATGATTAGTCAATGTAACATGATGGAATGATTGTGATTGCTTGAACTGCCTATTTTAGTTTTCACGTATCAAGTTTAGTGGTAGGTAATTTCTCACCTACATAGCACGCTCTTCTTTTATTCATCAAAGACAGCAGATTTCCTCAATACAAAGATTTGTGGTTAAACTTTTAAGGCTCCACAGCTGTCGGACTCAAGCTGTATTGGCTGCCATGCAGTCCAATTCTGATGAGACCAAGAAAACAGAACAGGATGTCTGGATGTGTTTCACAGAGAATCCACTCTCACTGCCATTTGTCTTCACGACTTAAAAATAAAAAAAATCTGTGCTGCAAATGGAACCATTCATTGTTCTAAACACTACCAGGCCAAACACTGAAGGGCAAAAACAAACAGACCGCAGCTACCTCCTGAAGCAAACGACTGAGATCAAATATTTAATTCCACGTCTTATCTTTGCAGTACTGGATGTAAATTGATCCTCTGCTTCTGTTCCCAACAGGAGGCCCATCCTGTCTGAGTCCGCTCCTTAGCATCAGGAGCAGCTGCAGGGAGGACAGAAGAAGGTCACAACCAAAATGAGACTCAACAGTCAGAAACAAGAGAGCCCTGGCCCTGCAGTTTCAAGGTCGAGATTGATACACAGCTCTCTGCAGAGGAAAAATAGAGCTCAGTGGAGCTCATTAAGGTGTTAGTCATGCACAATCACTCAGTCCTCAGTCCTTTTTCTGTCATTTTAGGCACCAATTCTGGACCACTTAATATGCAGCTGCACTAACTGCTTTTCAGCTATTCGCCATATATCTGAAGCCATCTAAAGGAGATATTCCCTGGCTTGTTAAAGCAGTCGTGAGCACACGTAAATGTAAATGCTTCCTCTCTCCTTGTGAAATTTAACTTAAAATTAGAGGGTGTGCCTTGAAGTCAAATCTTGTGCTCAGTCACTTGTCAGTGCCAAGGTAATGTTCTGCATTTGCATTCCCAGGTGAGGCAAGAAGCTGTTTTGCGCTGACTTATGATTCGACTTCTTTGGATTTCGGTAACTTTAGCAGAACTGTAAATAACTGATGATGCCCAGCATTTCAGCTAATGGAAAGATGGATAATACACTGGTAAGTAAATGCAAGAGTTACACACGGCCCTAATGTCAATAAAAAAGAGGCTTATGGGAGTCATAGTCCTGACTGGGTAATGAAGTTTATTTCAAAAGAAAAAGAAAAAGTTCCAGATTAAAGGGATTAGCAGTGATTGCATTAAGCCTCTCATCTTAGTCCACCTCCACACTTGATGACCAAAATGTGATGGTTTAGATACCAACTGAGTCACTGATAAAACAAGCTTAAGCAGTTTTGTGCAGTTCTTGACTTGCTTTGCATTCTGAGCAACTATCTTCTGTGGAGGGGTTGTTTGAAGTAATGCTTAAAAGTTACTTTTCTAAAATTTTAATTTAACATCAATGCTTTCCAACTCAATTAATCTATGTCTGATTGCTATGATCGGGCCAGTATACTGAGAAAAAGTCTTCCCCTCTCCAGTTTGCCACAATCTCCGTGAAGCAATGCAAGAGCAGCCTGCAAAATCTCATTTCATTCTTGCCATCTGTTCTGCCTCATGCTCCAATTGGAAATAAATGTGATTAATATTTCCCCTTTTGAAACAGAGACCACACTGCACCTAGAGTAATGGATGAAATTTGTGTTTTTCTTTTTTTTCTCATTCTGATGTTTGTATTCAAGTCCTATATACATGTTTGTCCCGAACAAATAAGTGCATGGACCTGAATTTGTTTGTGATGTCCGAAAAAGACTTAGATTTTGGTTTGCATATTCCCAGCGATTCCTCTTCACTCCCTGGGTCTACAGGACACAGCAGAGGGATGCAAGCTGTATATAGGGTGGGACAAGGGCTCGGGTTCAAGTCAGTTCTTTGGCTGTGTTAGACTGTGAATGATTCATTGTTGAAGCTGCGGTTACAATACCTTTTGGGAAACAAAATCCAGTTTTCACAGGCAGTTTTGTTCAGTCTTCAAAATTGCGCAACAAACAGAAAACTGCGTGGCTGGAAAAAAAAAAAAAACACTTCCATGCAACACCAGGCATCAGAGCAACCAGATGTTTTCCTCCATAGCTCATTGTTATCAAGCTTGTTTTATGGGACAACTACACACATACTGAATCTGTCTGCTTATTAGTATTACTGCCATCTCTGTCTCTCTTTTTTTTTGTCTCACAGTCTACTTGAGACTGTCAGAATGCCATTTAGCGGTTAGCATATGCGCAGAGATATTTCACAACATATGTTCGGTGAAAATATGTGTGTATGAGAGTGTGTGTGAAAGACATGTGACTGTTAAATTTAGACGGGGAACTATTTTAATAATTTCCAACTCCTTTCACCTCTGTTTATGCCCTCTTACTTCTGACTAGCTGCAGTTTGCAAACACAATATTTGCTTTAAGTCTGAGCTGTGTGTCTGAGATGACCATATTAAATATATTGTCTGTCTGTTATTTGAGCCAAGAGAAGAAAAAGCTGAACTGGAGAGTTTAGAGCACTTTGAAGCTAGAGCTTTGGGCTCATAGGGATTACTTGAAAATGTGACTCATGTTTAATATGAGCATTCACCACTGCAATGTAAAATATATATATATAATAGATAGATAGATAGATAGATAGATAGATAGATAGATAGATAGATAGATAGATAGATAGATAGATAGATAGATAGATAGAT